TCATGGAGTACTATTCAAGCCATAAAAAAGAATGAATTAATGCCTTTTGCAACAATTTGATGGAACTGGAGACCATTATCCTAAGTGAAGTATCCCAGGAATGAAAAAACAAACACCACATGTACTCACTATTAAACTGGAACTAACTGATGAGTACACATGTGCACAAAGGAATGTAAAACTTAGTGGAAATCAAGAAGGGGGGAGGAGAAAGAAGGGGAGGGACAAAAACATACCTAATGGGTACAATGAACACTATTTGGGTGATGGGCACACTTATCGCCTTGACTCAAGCATCACAAAAATAGTCCATGTAACAAAAAACATTTGACCTCCTTAATATTTTGAAATTAAAAAAAAAATGAATAATCAAAAAATTGTTTCTAGTCTGTTCTGACACCATTAATACTTTGAAAAAGACATCAACATAAACAAATGTATTAAAGTAACCACAGGCACACTTTTAAAAACATAGCAACTCTGACACTCATTGTCAACTAGAGCCAATTCCAGCAATCAAAAGAGAAAAAAATGCTTTTACATTGCTGCCTCAGAAACAAAATTGATTTAATACCTTTTGAAAGTTTTAAGCTATCTCAAAATCTCAGGTAAAAAAAAAATCGTGCATTGGTATTTTAAAATAAGAAATAATGATTGTGTTCGTGCAAAGTGTCAAGGCTGTGATTTTCCGATAGTTTTGCATTCCTGTAAGTAAAATGCTATCTACATCTCACAACTGGTGGATGTAAGGATTGTGAAACAAAATTGGGCATAATCCATCAAACTCACACCCTATGCCAACTTTAACTACTCACTCTTTGGAGCACAGGAACTAGGTAAAAATTTATGGGAAAATACTTAAATCAAAACTGACTGCTACTGATGCATATCTCCTAGGGGAATTGGCTCTTTCCCCTTTGATTTAAGTTCCCGCACAACACTGGGCATTTGTATTTATCTTCTCCCTCCAGCAGAACAAAGCAAAGGTGAGTAGTTCTGAGTAGCTGCTATACATAGGTACTTCCTCGAAGCATCCCAAGAACCCTAAGACAAATGATACATTCCCATTTTAAAGATAAGAACATTGAAGCTGGGAGAGACTAAGTAACCTAAGAAAGGGAGAGAGGGAGAGAACATATTCATAAAATGGGTCCACTGGTTTCTGGCATTATATATGAAGTTTTTTGGGGGGGCAGGAGAGAAAATAAAGGTGCTCTAAAAATGCCTTTCCAAGTGCAATGAGTTTAAATGCATTCCTTGTTCTATTTACTATCTGCAGTAACATGATCTTTCAGGCTTCTGAATCTCAAGCCATTACCAATGGCATCTTGCCTGCCTGTAACCTTGTTGCCTGCACAACATTCAGGAGAAACTCTGGCAAAGAGACTTCACTCACAGTTTAGTGCCTAACCTGGCCCCAGGTGTGTCTCCTAGAGACATTCTTCACACCTGACTCTCCATAGGTCTCACTCTTGGCTACCCAGCTTGCTTTGCTTTCTTCCCTTTTTGCCCCCAACTCAATTTTTAGATTTGATATTTTCATGTTTTTCTCTAGCTATAAGCATGGCTTCTGTTAATAAGAATTAGAGATTCTTATCATTTAAAACCAGATATGCTATTTGAAGATAACTCCCTCTTTCCCTGACTCAGTTCCAAGAAACTCCTACCCTAGAATCACCTATTTCGGCAATGATCCAAATTTGCTCACATCAGACACATGACCAAGGAGCATACAAGTGTCATTGAGGTAGATGAACTGTGTTTAAACCTGGATACACAATTACATGGGGTGATTTCAGGAAATATGAATACCTAGACCCCTACCCCAGATCAGTTAAACCACAATCTCCAAAGGTAGTGCTCGGGTAGAAATACAGTTCACACCTTGCAACGACAGGGCACTGTTTCTGTTATGAGGGCTCTCTTGAAAAGCTCCTTAAGGCTGGTGTTCTAGAGAAACCTCTCCCAACCGGTGAGCCCACATTCTAATTTGAATTGTATCTCTGCCTCAGGCTATTTCTCTGGCGTGCCAACACAATGAATGGCAAGTTCAGTCAATGACATAGAAACTTTAGGGTGGTTGTTGTGTATCATTCAAAACAACCAGTCAGGTGACTAACTGACATTTTTCTATGTCAGTGGGCGATTTGTGGCCCACTGATGGAGATGTATGATGACCTTAGGCTGTTGGTTTCTCCCCCTGTTGGGAAGAGTGGCAGCATTTGGAGATCGCCTGTCATCTGTAGAAATAAGTGACGGGAGTCCCAAATTCTGCGTTTTTCCCCCTGAGGAGTTGTAGACTCCTCAGACCTGGGTTTCAAACTCAGGTAGGTAATGTAAGTCACTAAAGGGGTTTAGGGGGGGCCCTGGCTAGCTAGAGAGCTCATGCCCCATCTAAAGCGAGCAGATACTACTTAGCTCTGACTGTTTGTTTTCATGCAGCAATGGGAGCTTTTTGTTGCCTCTGGATTTGTTTCAGTATTTTCTGCATAGTTATACACTCAAGTCCCAGATTCTTCCATAGCAATTTCTGGTGACCACAGACCACATTACCAATTAAACAATCTGAATCCCCAAATCTACAATTCAAAGCCCTCCATCAAATGAGAAGACTCCTATTCTCTAATCTGCCTTATTTTTACTTTTCAGTTTGGATTTCTGGCTTCTTCCAATACACTTCCTTTCTGAGACTGTACATGACTTACGGGTTTCCATCTGATCCCTTGACTTGCATTAGTCTTCCCAGCAGAAATAAGCTTTCCATTCTCCTCTATCGACCAATCCGATCCTTCACCTCTTCCCTTACTTTCCTCTTGTGTCATTATCCCTCCAACTACTCATTTCTTTTGTCACTTTCCCCCAAGACCTTCTAAATAGTTCTTCTCTTTCTTTTGCTCAAGTCTAAAGTTTCATTTCCTTTAAAAAATATCAAGCCACCACCTAAAACCAATGATCACCTCTGCCTTCTGACTTCAAAAGAAGCATCATTAACAATGTTGTGTAAAAAAAAAGTACTGAAATACAATAAAGCCCTATAACAATCTGCCCTTTATTCAGTTATGCCCCAAATTCACCGCATCGTTTATGTATGTATGATATATACTACATTTTTATGGGATGTGAAGATCACCCATAATGTGTTTATTCCATCATCTCCAAACAAAAGTGACCCAGCAAAAGTGTATTGTCTCTCTGCATCAACATACTACTTGTTAAAATAAATTAATTAATGTAATTTAATTAAGAATTTAAAAAAGCTGAGCCTAAATTATCACAGATGTATCACATTGTTTTCCTGCTCTGTGTACCTTGTACCTCTGGGAATATCTTCCCTCAACAAGGCGAATAGAAAACACTTTAAGAGAAAAAATTGTAAAATAGCATCCAAGCAAAATTAAAATCAAATTATGACATTTACATTGCCCCGTTCTTCAAAGCATAAGTCATCATCAAAATTGCAACAAACAGTTTGTCTAGCCACTTGCTAAAGAAATATAGTCATTCGGGTTAGATGCTAAATCAAATAAAATTTAATATCCTCTGAAATCACCATAATTTCAGAGTAAATGTAAATGGAAAAACCACAAGTTATATTGATTAATTTGAGTACATCCAATTTTTTATAAGAAGGTTTTGCTTATAGAATGAGAGACTCAGGCTCAAAAAAATCATTTTTATCTTAAAGTCATAAATTGACATCATAGCATTAGGTTGTTTTTTCAAGCAATAGAATTCTAAAAATTGGATTCTCTTTCTGAGTATAACTTTACATAACTATCAATATTTATCAGGTAAAATACGAAATAAACATGGACATTTTCTTTTTGTCTTAAAAAAACTATTCTTGAAGCTGATTAAATGTTTCTTTTTTTATTTATTTTCTGTTGGTATTTTTAAAAATCTCATATTTGCAACCAAATTCTTCCCCAACTTACAAGCAAGACGGTTGTATTTTCTTTAGGCTTTTTCGTGCTAAGCAAGAAACAAAATATATTCAATGAAAAAATGAAAGACACAATGATTGAACAATATATTAGGGGCTCTGCAGATTTCCAGATTAGTTGTCAAAAAAATATTACCCCCATTTTCTAGTCCAGTAGATTAAGGTATGCAAGCAATCATATAATATTCTTTGAAGATCTTGAATGACTTTTGGAGATTCTCCGTGGTACAGTAAGATAAGTCTTCCCATCTCAGAGAGGAAAAGCATTATGAAGCCAGAATATTGAAACAAGTCATTGGAAGAACTGAGTTTATCTGTTTTGCTACAGGACTCCTAAGCACGTCCTGGTGTATAAAGTTTTTACCCAAATACTTTGTGCTTCGGATTATTTTGGAGGTTTCTAAGTAATTATGTTTCAGCGATACCCAAAAAAGGGACAAATTAGGCATTCTGGGGTAAGCAGGGAAAGAGGGGCCCGTGGCAGAGTGAAAAGCAGGGTTTGGGTGTGTTAAGGAAAGTGAGTGCAACACCACAGAATGGACCGAAGCAGAGGCTTCTGGGTCTCACATCACAAGCAGCTGGGGGGAGAAAAGATTCCCTACTTTAACACGTGGGTTTACATACTTGAGCGCTATCAAGAGATTATGTAGCAATATTTCTGGGAGGTTGACCTCCAACCACCTGACTCAGAATCACCTGTACCACTTGTTACACAGGAGATCTGGGTTTCCACCCCAGAACTGTGTAATCAGAATGGCTGTGTAATCAGAATGGCTGTGTAATCAGAATGGCTATGCCCATTTTTAAAGCTCCCTTGGGGATTTCTAGACACACCAAACTTTGAAAAACGTTACAAGTTATTCACAAAGATAAAATTACAAGGTTCAGCATTTGGGAAACCAAGTTTGAATCTCAGCTCTCTGAGATAAAAATGGGACCAATAATAGCATCTCCTTTACAAGACCATTATGAGGATTAACTTAAATGAGATAATTAATGTATGTGAGGGATGAAGAGTAGGTTCTCCATAAACTGTATTGTTAATATTCCATATTAGGTTTCTCGGCACAAACACACTCTCACAGACAGACAGCTCTTGGTGCCTAATGGGGATGAGAACCAGAATTCTGAGGGAGGCTTTGAGGCACCTGAGCTTTCCACCTGCTGCTGCAGGTGATGAAACATCCCCACAGCAGCACGATTCAATTTCCTTTTTGCAAACCAGGGTTCAATTTGACATGAATCAGGATACCAGTACATTTACATTTGTACCAAAAGTGATGGACTTCCGTGCTTCTGTGAATTAGGAATCAAGGCTGATTTACATAATGTTTAGAAAGCTCACAAACTTTGTATTTTGTCTAAAATAATTGTGATTCTCCAAGGTTTTCCCAACTGTGCCAATTTGGCTGAGGCTGCTTGCTTGGATTGCCAGCCTGCATCCAGATTTCTCAGTCTAATCTTTGGCAAGATCCTACTAACTCCAGTTTCAGGACCAAGTGACTGGCAGCAGCCCAACAGCCCAAGTGTGCACTCCTGCCAAATCCACACTGGCCAGGAAAAGCCTTCAAGAATGTGAAACAAAAGAGAGTCCTTACCCTCAATGCAGAACTCAACTGAGTTGGCCACCCTGCAGCTGGTCAAAGGGGCATCCTTGCTCTTCCAGTGAGGGGAAGCCATGACTAAAAATGCCATTAGAGGCACCAGGGAGACATAGTGGAAAACTTCCCATTATGAGCTGTAATTCAGATATAAAAAAAAGGGAGGGAAAAAATTGATTCAAATTGGTTCATGTCATATAAAAATAACATCCCAGTCACAGGTAAGTATTTTATCTGCCTTGGTCATATATTCAGGGATTATGTAGATGGCAGAAGGTGAAGTGTGAACTCTTAATTATCTGAATAATTGATCAGTACTTACAGTCCAGCTAACCAGTTCACTTTAAGTCCTAAATTATCTTTCTGTGCAAACTACCTTGATCAATAGACCATAAAATTGCCAAGTTCCCACTTCACTTTATAATCTATGCTAATAAATATAACCTGCTAATAAATACAACAGTGGCAGCACAGCCAGTAAACTTCACAATTCTGAACATAATTATTTTATATTGCCACTTTCAAGCATTAGAATACTAAAGACATAGTCATTTAATCATAGGAGTTTTATATATATAGAGAGAGAGAGAGAGATACACACACACATACACGTACACACACATATATATTAGGGAATCATCTTGATCCAGCTACTCACAATATATTTGGGAAAAGCACAAATCAGAACAAGCATCACCAAACCTGAGACTCAGCTCTACTTAAAATACACAAGTTATTGTTTGCTCTTCTTTCAAAATTCATGAGCTCCATAATCATAAACAGGGAGAAATGTTATTATTTCTTTCTGTTTCATCACAACTCAACTAATTTGGCAATTTATTAACAGATTTTCTCCAAAGGTTTTGTTCCCAGCTATTTTCAACATTTGTCCTGAAAGGTAACATTCGATCTGTCAGCCCCAATAGTCTCGGATTTGACAAATTAGGTTATCTTGTTACAGGCTTAATAACATTTTCTCCTGCATCTATTCTAAGACTCTTGGTAATACAGAAAAATGTCTTCTGAAACCCAACAAGGAAATGAAGTCAATATAAATAAGTGGTATTTCATGCATACAATGAATTAGATACACAAAGTGTGTGCAAGTATTAGAGGGTAGATGTGATATTTTAAAATGCATGCAGTTTAATTAAACGAGCAGAGCTGTAGAAGTCAGCAATGTTTGATTCATATCTTCGGGATTCAGGGCATAAGATACCCTTTGCCCTGGGTAATCAGAAAAGCAATTGTGCCAAGCCAGACAGGCCATATTAAAGTGCTGTTGAAAACACCTGAAGCTAATTATCCTAGGGGGCACCAACAGAACTAGTTACAAGATGAAAAATTTAGTCAATTTTTTTGTTTTCCAAAATGCCAAGTAACTACCTGGACTCATTTAAGCATAGACTTGGCCACATGATATTATTTGTTGAACATCTGATGTGCCAAGGTAACCAAGTCACCCAGTTGCTTTGACATCATCTTAACTCAAACACAATATGCATATTTTCAATCAATTTACTTTGGATTCATTTTTATATATGAAACATGGTCAGTGTTCCATGAACACATTTTCAGAGGAAAGATTGCTATAAATATGATGTGATAATGACTGGAATGTTTCAGGGAAGGACAGGAGGAGAAAAGAAGGCAAGTGCAAACTCTCATAAAATTTAAAATAAACTGTGAACTAAGACTTGGCATTTCATCATTTTTAAACCAAAATCTAATTAGTAAGTTCTGTCCTTTAAAAGAATGTTGCAAGCTTTTCCTTAAATATTCAATTCAAGCTTTCAAAGAGTAATGCTTAAGACTTTTGCTGTAACGATAAATTCAGCTTTCAAAATTTGAAAAAAGAACAATATGGGGGTAAGAACAACATAATAGGTAGGTAGGTAAATAGATAGATAGATGGATGATAGATAAATTTGAGAAGTCTCAATTTTAAAATGTCAGCTTCAATTCTGGTTCTCCATTAATTGCTTATAATTTAAGCCTCCTCTTCTTCAAAAATGGATTTCAGACTCTTACAATATAAGAAAACTACGATATAGAAAGAAATGTTTTTAAGCGATGAAGAAGAAACTATATTAACCTGTTAAAATCATTTCCATGATTGAACTTTAAAATTTAATCTTGAATTTCTTGGAAGCAAAGCAAAAGAAAAAAAAATCCAGTAAACTATATACTTCTATTTATTATAATGAAAAAAGAATTAATTCTTTCAGAGATAAAGCTTTTCCCTCAAACCAAATTTGGAAGTGATTTATTATATTAATCCCTATGTAAGGCACAATCAAAAGTTAATAGATAAAATTTCAATGATGATTTTACAAAGGATTAAGAAATGAATATTCTTTATATTACCACTACCTATATTAAGGTTCAATAAAACAGAGGACATAACAATTAAACCTAACTCTGCAGGTTTATGGCCACCTAATATACTAAGCCAAACCAAGACTTGGGTGTTAGAAATATGTATGTTCAAAGTCTGTCTTCCTTAATTCCTAATTGAATGGTCTTGTGCAAATATGCCCAGCTTATCAGAGCCCATTTCACCATTGGCAAAATGAGATGGTAATATCTACAATATGACTATAATGCTTGATTTGATGACTAAATGAAATAAATCATATAAAACATCTAACCTTTTGCCTGATAGAAAATAAAAACTTCATATAAACTCTGGTAAAGGCTCAACGAAGAATAAAATTTGGCCTAAGTGAAGTATCGCAAGAATAGAAAAACAAACACCACATGTACTCACTATTAAATTGGAACTAACTGATCAGCCCTTATGTGCACAGATGGAAGTAAAACTCAACAGAAATCATGCAGGTGGGAGGGGGAAGAGAGGAGGGGAAAAAATCATACCTAACAGGTGCAATGCACACTATCTGAGTGATGGGCACACTTACAACTTTGACTCAAGCAACACAAAAGCAATCTGTGTAACTAAAACACTTATACTCCCATAATATTCTAAAATAAAAAAATAAAGAAAATTTTATAAAAGAATAAAATTTGGAATATATTAAGAGGCAGACAGATAGAAGGTCGTTTTGACTCTTCTCCTTGAGTATCATTTCTCTCAGTTAGAAGCTATAAAATTGTCAGTTCAGTTTAAACTTTGGAAATGCCCAGAGCATCAATATTTTGTTTAGCTAGTTGATGGCAAAATATTTGAGCCGTTGATTGTCTAATAAATATGTATGTTCAAATATTTTGGTTTAAGTTCAGGGCAACAAACACCTTAGGCCTCTAACCTGTAAAAAATAAAATTTTCTTGGAAGTCTAATTTGGTTTTCTGTAATTATGCCAAAGCTGTACCTAATAACACACACACTGTTACTTCCATTGTATGACTTTCCCCGCCTTGGGGAGTCCTCATAGAATGGTAAGAGGGCCTTGTCTAAGTGTTCAACATAGACTTTGGGTATTCTTAACATCATCCCAGTTCCTGAGAATGAAAACAACACAAAAGCTCAGTTCTGTGAGCATGGGCTATGGAAGAAGACAGGTTGGTATAGATGACTGGGCAAGGAGAAGTTAATGCAAGGAAGGGACGGTATGTTTTATTAATTCCAGAGTCAATACCCACTGACAGTGTAAGGGTAAACTAGGCACAGGCCTTTTATACCAAAAAAAAAAGTGCTCTTTAATTTCAAAAATATAAAATTCAATGGAAAAAGCTAGACAGTAAAACAGTCTCAGTTGTCTACAAACAGTTTAGAGCAAGCAGGGTATAGTGAAAAGAATATGAAGTATAGAAAAACAAAAACTCATTTTCCATTGGAGCACATTTGGAGAAATACTGCTCTAAGGTGAGAGAAGCATGTGTCAAGTAGAAGTAGAACTATGGCCTATGAAAGTTATCAGATGTTCAAATGTAAAACATACGACTATATAATTATAATAGTCAAGGATCAAAGAGGAAGGTAGCAAATGCATTTTAGATAGCAGACTAACGTTCTGGATCAATTTTACCTCAACAGAGAACAACATTATTATGATTTTAACCTACTATCCAGACTAAGTTGCCCAGATTGGGGCCAACTCCTCCCTTACCAGTTGACGGTGTCCTAGCTGTTGGCAAATCCACCCCAAACTTATAATGCAAGTTTTCCTGAGAGATACGTCAAATTAACCTTACTAATGCAACAGAATCATGTAGAGATAAAAAGGGACATTAAAAATATAAACTGGGAAAGGGCCTAGTCTAGGACAGCAGTTCTCAAAGGGTGGTTGGTCCCTGAGAACCTGCACAGAAATGTGGATTCTCAAGTCTTTCTCCCGATCTACTGAGTTCCAGAAACTGGGAGTGGAGCCCTGTCATCTGTGCTGTAAGGAGCCTTACAGGGGATCTTGATTCACACAAAAGTTTAAAAATTCTTGTCAGAAGCTCAGATTCTGTCCTTACTTCTTGCAGATTTGTGATCTTGGACAAATCACTTAATTTTTCTGGATTTAGCCTCTTCATCTACAAGACAGTGATAATAACACCTTCCCAACCTTTTTCATAGGTTTAATTAGGGACAAGAAGCTCAAACTGACAAAATGGTATTGAATTATA